AGCCCTGCGTTGCTGGTGAAGGAAATGTCTGAGATTATGGGAGAGAACCTCAACGAAAACGATTATATCGATCGCTTATCGTTTACCGCCAACGAAGAAAGTGAAAGATCGACTGTTGTCAAGTTCACTCGAAGAGAGAAAAGAGACGACATTTACAGCAAGAGGAAAGACTTAAAATCTAAGCGGACTAAAGATCTCCCGTCTGTGGACTGCGAGCCGGGATCTGCGGTTGTAAGTCATAAAACACAAATTCATGTCAATGAAAGCTTAACACCAGGCGTATTCAATCGATAAACCGATAATCGATATCAATCGATAGCAATCGATAATAATCGAAGATTGATATCGATTTCCGATGCCAATCGATGGAAATCGATAAAGAAATAAAGTTGTGACTTCGATTGACATTGATTTCCGATAGAAATCGATAAACATTGATTTATCGAATGTTATCGATTATTATCGATTGTTATCGGAAAAGATTGTGTCGTTTTACAAGTTAATCATCGACACAATGTTGTCTGTATGGTTTTATTGAGTCATTCAATCATCATAGCACGCAATAGGTCAGTTTACAATTATCAACAAAATACTAAAGGAACAAAAACAATAACAGGAACGTTTGGTCTTTTTATCGATCTTCAGCTTCAGCACAGTTCATGATACAGGAAGAAGAAGAAGTTGCGGCCAAAGTAGCGGTGTGCAACCCTCGGCTAGTCTCGTTATAGCAACGCCATAAAGATGAAGCAAAATAAACAACAAAATTAATGTTTTTATGATGAGTGGACATGTAAAAATATTTTAAAACGGCAGAAAACCAAGTGGGATGAACACTCCGCCTTGACTAGATGATGAAATCGATAATAAAAAGCTTAACCTTAAACGCCTTGCTCGTATATTCGTTTACTAGATAGCAACTCCAGTGTTCAGTAATATGTTTGAAATAAATACTCTTTTGGATTATCGACTGCTATCGATAACTATCGATTATCGATTGTTATCGATTTTTGTCAATCGATAAAAATCGATAATTTTTTTCTGTGAGTTCGATTGTTATCGATTACAGATATCAATCGATAGCAATCGGCGATTGATATCTATTGATATCTAGTGTATCGATTGATTTCCGATATCGATTTCTATCGATTGACTACGCCTGGCACTCTTGCGCCTGGTTAACATCATACAGAAAACGACTACTGGGCAGAATCTTACAATTCAAGCGCGAATACAACTGCAAGTTTATTTGGACGGCTAACGGTAAAATAAGGCTGAAGAAAACGGAGAGTTCCACTACGAAATGTTTCGTAACACATGAGGAATTCGAAGAGTTTCTTAACGAGCTCAATTAATTAGCTATCAGTGTAATGACGAGACTAAATATTATTACGGAGGCAAAAATGGCTGATTATCAGGAAAACGTAAGTAGTTGTTGACCATTTTATGATTTAACTGATAGAGAATTTCATGCTATGGTTGGCAGCTGGCTGATAGGCGTCATGATCTTGACCTTTACGATCTCCTCCCAAATCCAAATAAATTCGACGAGTGCGACCCAGATTTGTGTAGGTATTAGCATGATTTGTAGTGATTTTTGGCATAAATACCACGAGTGACATTTCGAAATTGTTATACGTAATTTCACGAGCCGTTAGGCGAGTGAAATTTGAGACAATTTTGAAATATCACGAGTGGTATTTATGCCAAATATCCAGTACAAATCATGCTATTGTTTGTTTATACTACTACCCGCAAAGGTTTTGTAATTTTCACATGTAGGTATTTCAAATTAAGCTGAAATACCACTGCTCTAAGCCAATCAAATTGCCGAAATTTCTCATGTAGTATTATAAAATGTTAAATGCCCCCTGCTCAGAATATTATTCAGTCCGCAGCTTTAATAAAATGCTAGTAAATTCAGACGCAAAATCTTTTTCAATTCTTCACTGTAATATTAGAAGTTTATCTAAAAACCTAAATCTATTAGAAGAACTATTATGCTCCCTTGACTCCAGGCTGGATATACTCGGTATTACAGAAACTAAATTGGGTGAGAATTCTATTTCTAATGTAAATATCGTAACAGGAGAGATTTCGAAAATGATTTGATCAAAAAGTTAAACGCTAAAAGATTTTTAAAATACATTTTAAAAAGTGAACGACGTTTCGGCGCTACGTTACGCCATTATCAAGTTGAAAAGTGAAAAAGTATAAGGTGTAAAACGAATATATAACATTTGAAACAATACATAAAATATTTGCTGGTCCAATGGGTATAATTCCCAAGGTAAGAAACACAATAAGAGAAAAAAAATGTACGAAAGTGTCACGTAAATAGTTTGGCGCGAAATGGAGTGGGCTTGCTTGTTAAGAGAAGGCTTGATGTCCTTTATGTATAACATCTCGTAGACTAGGCAATCAAACTTGCTGTCACATTTCCTCAGAACTTTGAAAAGATGGTCAGTCTTTGTTCTGTTATTGCCATGCTGTGTTTCAAGGTGTTTCCCGATGGCTGAATAACGGTGTTCACTTATGCTTTGATGTAAGTGTCGGGCAGTGTACCCGAAATAATTTGCATCGCACAAATCATATTGAAAAAAGTATACAACGCATTGAGTGTTAACAAGCCCCCGATCGTCAACATGAACTTAATCCGTTCAGTTTAGATCGTCTTATGAAATGTTCGAAGCCTGACCTGGGCCTCAGTTTGCTTGCTTAGTAAATAAGCTCGGTAGTTGGCTTTTCTAAGATAATTTAATACTTAGAGACTTTAGTGAATGCGACAAAATTTGAAAGCAAACGGAACAGTGTTTAAATGGCATGAGCATTCAAGGCTTTTATTTAAAGCGGATACTCGGAAAAACTGTAATAAACAAAAACGGATATAAGGCTTACTACAAACGAAAACTATAAGAAAAATCTCTCGTAACAACATTATATGTATAACTTGCTCATATTGTAAAAATCGCTTGATAATCATGAGGTATTTTCATCTAAGTCAGCAATAGACAATTGGCACGACGGCATCACTTTACTACAAGTACTTTTACCACCAGAATCCATTTCGTTTTTCCTTTCATATTTAAATTTTGTAATCCCAGCGAGGTTTTAATAGCAAGTGCTCTAATTTGCACAAGACAGGGGCACCCAACGAGAATATAGTTCAAAACCACTTAAACATAGCATTGCTAAACGTATTTTAGTATTTAAACGGTAGAGGCATATTTTTATCCCCTCAAAATTTTTCATCTGTTCGGATTTCCTAGCTGAAAGTCTAATGATCCGAAAATTATAGGGATCAACACTTACATTTTCGAAAATTTCAGCCAGAAAAAGGGCTCCCGAAAATTCTAGGTGATCTTTTTATGGTAAAAGTTCGTTAAAAAGTTTCAATTATACCATTTTGTAGATCTTCGAAAATCCTAGGAGAGGCAGGCAAGCAAAAAATTTTACAACAAATGCTCCGAAAATTCTAGATCTCAAATCGTCTTCAGAACAGATATTTTCCGAAAATTTACGTCGGGTGCCGCTGACAAGAAAGCAAAATACTGAAGCATTCTAGTACTAGTAGCAAATGACGTCATCGTGCAATGGCCTATTGATTAAAACCTTTTATTATTCATTCAAAATATTTCCCCGATTCTGATTGGCTAAAAGCACACGTTTAATTCACCATAACCAGTTACTGATGACCAAATTTGGAAGAATTTTGACTTTAACGAGGAAAGGACGTCAAAAATGCAGCGTTTTCGCTGGTTAAGGCACCGTTAACCGAGAAGACCTGGGGACGAGGTTGAGTTGTTTTGGTTGTGAACTTGAAAAAATGGCAGACATTTCACTCGTTTCAAGAGTAACAACTAAGCGAAAAAATAGCTAAAAACATGGCAAGAACAGCAAGAAGACAACTCGAAGGGCGACATCTGCTATTTGGAGAATATTTGCGGAGCTGGACAAACCTAAACGTACACTATCGAAGATGAACTGAACATCGATGGATCGATAGAGGTGAGCATGTTTTAGCTATGTTTTTAAACTAGGAATTATTTTGAATGAATAATAAAACAGTTATTGAATTCGGCTTTCGTATCATATAAAGAATTATGGAGATCTCGGAGGGTGTTATCCGCCTTGGCCTACGGCCTCGACGGATAACACCCTCCTCGATCTCCATAATTCTTCATAAGATACTCAGCCTCATTCATTAACTGTTGATTATTTATCCTGGTCCTCGCTCCTTGAAGAAGGACGTTTTTGTAAATGAGTAAATTCGCGGGTTAACAAGTTGAAACTTCTACAGCCAATAAGACTATTAATAACGAACAGACGTCAACACACCAACATTTTAGCGAACGCAAATTTTCCAGAAATCACCGGTGGTCACGCCAACGAGAAGATCATCGTATTCTCATCTTTTTGCTTTGCCACCACTGTAGTCTGGATGATCAAGCGCCCAATGATATAAATTAAAATCAAAAGCAGTCAAAGGAGGGTGGTCGTATAATCTGGCTTGATCAAATCCAGCGCCCTATTTGCCACTATTTTTGGCAGACACCTGATAACCTACGTACAATCTGTTGCGATACCGTTCTTCATGACTCGGCCATTTGCCAAATCCACGTTTTGCAAACCCTGACTAACACCGAGTTGTCATTTTTCATTTTGACGAAAGATCCACACGATGCGGGCGTTTGACCGCTGAAGTACTGGACAACAGCTTTAAAAAAAAGCGGATTAAAGTGCACGGCAAATAAGAAGACACAGAAAATCTCTATTTATTACCAATCGATTGATTATGTTAGCTTTGTTCATCTCAGTTAGCAGCATTAATCTCATAAACTTGTAATTCATAGTCTTCAAGACTATCTATGAAAGATTACAAGGAAAAGTTCTTTATGGCAAGCGAATTGAATTCTATGAATTATTAAAAGAGATTGTTGAAACGTCTATAGCAGATACCGTAACACTAATAATCAAGCAAAGGCGCGTTAATGAACAAGCATTTAGCGAACGTAAATTTTCCAGAAATCACCAGCAGTTACTTTACCAAAATAATCATCGCATTCCCATCTTTTTTCCTTTGGTGAGAGAACCCAAAGATAACCAGCGTTATCAAAAGCAGGGAGAACGTACAATCTGTTGAAGTACCGTTCTTGATGACTCCATTTGCCAACTCCATATACACCATTTTCCCTTCCCCACCTCTTGCAAACCGTGGCTAACACCGAGTTGTCATTTTTCATCTTGATAAAGGATCCACACGATGCGGGCATAACGTCCGTCTGGCCGCTGAAGTACTGAACTACAGCTTCACCAGTGCTGTTAGGAGCAGTGGTCACGTGGAATGTACGTCCATTCTTTTTACTGCAGTGGAATCTCAGTTGGGTGAAAGACAAGTGTGTTTTCAACTCATTCATGGCGCTTTTCTTGATAACCATCTGTTCACTAGTTATTCCACGGTATGAAGTCTTGACTGGCAGCTGAGAGGGAAATTTTGAGCTTTGCATCGTTACGTTGGAAATGAGGACCCAGCCTCCTGAAACAAGAATTAAGATAAAAAGCGACTCTATTATAGCACGTACTCGAGTGGTAGCTAAGCCCAAACAACCGTTAAAGAGTAATGCGATGAAATTGGGGAAAATTTCCTTGTTTTAGATAACAATAAGAATTTCTCAAATACATTATTATATGACTTTCCTAACTTACGCGAGCTAGGAATAAGAATTTCTCAAGTACATTATTATATGACTTTCCTAACTTACTGAAAGCTAAGTAGATATGTCCTAACTTTATTGGTCTCACAAATGTTATCGATCAGTAAATAAACGCCATTAAGGGATAGTCCTGCATGTATGACGTATAGAAAGAAACAACGACGTCATTTCTTGAGTATACATTCTTCTGGAAAGAAAGTTGTTTCTTGAACAGTTTGCAATTAGGCGTATGTGATCGTTCTTTGTAACGAAATTTACAACATATAAATTAAAATAATGATAATAATGATAATGATAATTAATAATAATAATTATAACAATAATAATAATAATAATAATAATAATAATGACAGTGATAATAATACCGTTGTGTAGAATGCGAGGCCAAAAGGGAGAGTGTGTGTCTTCTAGTAAGTGGGTGTGAAAAGTTGGCCCAGTGGAAAATAAAAAAATGGCGCGATAATGTGGCAAAGATTGTACGTTGGAATTTATCTGAAGTCTGAAAAGGAAGGAACAATGGCTTGCAAGAACATGTGCCAGACGGGTTTGTGGAGAATGATGAATTGAAGTAAAGCTGCTTTGGGATATGAGCATCTAATGTTAAAGGCAAGAAAGCCTAACCTCTAGTACGAATAGCAAGGAGGAGAACAAATGTAATATATAGATTTACCCAGGGCTAAAAGCGAAGCTCCCGTCAATAAATTTATAATTTAAATCAAACAATAAACTTGTAATCCACAAATCAGTTAACTTTAGGGTACATTCATGTGACTTTTGAGGGAGCGGCTGAGTGATTTTAGAGAAAAATGATTTGACAGTCCAAGAGTCAATCAAATCAGTTTTACATCGAGTTAATAGTCTTAAATGTACACCCAAAAAATAGCAATCATCTTCGATCACAGTAGATTAGGCCTGGAAAACAAATTCTTCCCAAACAAAATAACCCAGTCGCCCACCTACAACACCTTAAGGTTTATTCCCCCCAGCCACTATGGATGATTGGGCAGCCCCGAATTATAATCTTATGCCACGCAACATAGTCTTCTGTGGCAGCCAAAACATTTACACTTTGCATTCTGTCTAAAAGGGAGGCCACAATAAGAAATCAGGCCGGATTTTTTGTGTTCGACAAGTTTACTTGACAAGTAAATCTTGGCGACAAATCTGGTGGCGTGTAAACCAGCCTTTTAAATATACTTTTATACGTTACGTCTGAGGAAAACAGTACTATTGAGGCGCTGTTTTCTTTTATCATACAGACCTTGGACAGAATTTTTTCTTTAATTTTGCCCTATTTAAACCTATAATTCTGCAGTTTTTCACAATTTGCAAGACAAATTGCACTCATTTAATCAGTCCAGGCCGATCGAAGCACGCGCTCGGCGTCCTTTTCACAGCAAATTAGAGATTTTCGTGATGCAGTTACTGTTCACTCAGAAAAATATGCTCCTATATCATATGTAGGGTAATAAGTCTGGGCTTTTAGGGAAAACGATAAAAAAAATTCCCAAAATCACCTATACGGCAAGCCGGATGTGTTCTCACTTTTGACAAGCACTAAATTTCCAGTGCCGGCTGTCAGGTGTTTGAATGAACAGTAACAGAGTTATGCGTCAAGGTGAAAGAGAATTTATTATGTTTAGGTCTTATTTCCCTTTAATTTATGGTTCTGTTATATGTAATGTTTAAAAGCGTTTAATATTTACGCACGGCAATTTTCAGTACTCCTGCATGCGATGTTTATGTACGACTGAAAAGAAGCGGAGCAACGATTAAAATTGCGAGAGAGACTACTATCAGTCAGTAAAATAAATACTATTCGGTGAAACACGTACAGAGACAACAATTTTCGTTCACGAAGACAAGTATTGAGAGTAAAGTGTCTCTAAAAATCATGAGTCAGGTATTAAGGTTAAGCTTATAAACTTAAAACCTTGCAGATTTATGTTTTAAGCCGGCTTCCCGGTGTTTGCTATTTTTCAAGATAAACTCGAGGCAAGAAAATCGCTCAGAGCTTTCTCTTTACAGGCGAAATCGTAACTAAACATTCTTCGGAACGTTTTCTTTGTATTTGCGGTCAGAAAATGTCTAAAGGCTTTCGAAAGTTCTATAAGCTTATATCAAACCTGATACTATTGTAGGTCAGATCATTGCCTGGTTCGTGCATAAACTAGCCAGATAAAACTACTTTGATGGACCTGTTGGATAAGTAGTTTTCAATTCAACAGGGGCACCCAACGACTGTTTTCTGTAAAATATCTGTTTGGAAAAGCAAATATTACCTATAATTTTCTATTACTTGAGGACGCGGGCTAAAAATTTCTAGATGACCGTTCCATTCATGTACAATTTTTGAAGCTTATTTAACCAATTCCCTACGATTTTCTGAAGTTTAATTTTCACATTTCACTTCCCCAGTCAGGCTATTTTTCGTAGAAAAAAGGAAATCTAAAATTTTCGGATTCAAAAGTATGATGGAGAGAGGAAAATGTCTCACTTTCGTAATAAGTCAAATTGCATCTAAAATTTTCGTAAAAATAATACTCAAGCCCTTGTAATTTCGAAAAGACTCAAGTTCACCTAAGATGACCGAACAGATACAAATTTTATAGCACCGCCTAGAATGCATTTCTAGAGATCTAAAAGTACTCTGGATAGGCCTTAAAAAGTGTCTTTAATGCATTCATGACGAAACAGTCATTGGGTGCACCTGATCGAAGCCAGCAGCTTGCCAGAGATTCTTTTTCCTTCAACAGTTTGAAGCAGAGGCCATTGTGTCACACTTTATCAAAAGCACCTTTGATGTTAAGTGCTATGAGTCGTACTTTGTAGCGTTTGTCAAGAGTGTTTGACCACTGCTGAGATTAGATGCTGAGAATATCCGGTGTGCTATGATGAGGCCTGAAGCCAAACTATCGATCAAAATAAGATGATGTCGCGGTACATACTTTTGTAGCTGACTATTGACATCTGAGCGATGCGGCAGGGATGTGCACTCTACATGGCCTGAACTGAAAGAATCCTGAGACTCATAACAGTTCGAGTAATCAAGAGGTAAGACAATTACCGCTTGGCCAAGGATTGGGTTTGTCAGCGCATAGAATTGCCTCCCCACTATCCACACTTCTAGACAAGTAACTGACGTATTTCCTTTATTCTTTAGTGTTTGTCTTGTAAACAGTGACTGAAAAACCCCAAGGGGAGTTACTATTAAAGTGTGTGTGCTTATTCTAAGAAGGGTGCTTGACTTTTAACTACCAGGAGAACGTATCTAAGAAATTTGGACAATGGCTCACTCCCTTGGGATGTATGTCGGTATGACAACGGCCAGAGCTCAGAGCTAAATAGATAATTATAACTATATACTGATATGTATTATTATTGGCTATTTTGAACGCGTGTGCAATATAAAACAAATATTCTATTTAAGGGCAATTATTTGGATTCATGTGGCAAAGGTGTTGCAAAGTTTTTAGATTATAAAGAGGAGATTTTACCTCCATCAGTTGTCATGTCACAGTAAACTTTCAACGGGATTCCACTGTTCTCAGGGTCGATCCAGTACTTCCCGTCTCCTTTAGAGTCACCAGAGTCTCGGATGCTCTTACAGGAATAAGCAGGCTGCTTGGAATTCCAACCTCGCCTTGCTGCAGCAGATAATAAAACAAATGACTTTATATGGTAAATATTCCATCCGCCGTGAAGCAATAGCGTAGCGCGTGAATGTTGTCATAGTGACTAATTTGCAATTTTTGTCTGAGTTTTGTCATTTTTCTCCTTTTAATGACAAAAGGCGGACAAACATGACATTGTAATGACAAAAGTCAGACAATAGTGAGGAATTCGCTAATGTTAATTTCAGTTTGTTTGCCTGAGGTTTGGGCCTATAAATAGTAACTGCTATTGTAAAATCAAATTTAAAAATAGACTTGTAAGTGTTTCTCACGAATTTCACATGGTTTTTTGGTAAAGTCAGGATGGCGATGACCAGTTTGTTTTTTCTTGTTAGTGGGCAGATCTTGGCAGGTAACCTGAGAAGAAAATAACAAATCGAAATGAGAAACATCAAACAATATCTGGAAACTATTGATAACGTCATTATGTGCTTTCTCTTACCACTTTTGTCTGCTTTAAAAGCAATGCTAGTAAATATGGTGATATATGTACATCCTTTCCATTTCCTACCATAGGCAATATTTACCGTGCGGTAATAACAAATATATACTTTAAGCAACAGACAAACCGGTACGACAAATCAACGTTCAAAGGAAAATGTTATCAAAAGTAAAGGATTAAACTAACTGCAAAAACCGTGGACGAGGATCCTGCTAGTAGTAAACGTTGGATCTCTAGAAAAGAGATCTAATCAGCCAAAATATAACTGAAGAACCAAGAACGAGAAAAGTACTATTTACAATATAAGAGTTCTGCAATCTCTTCTAACATCAGTAAGTTCACTTGATAAGGTGACCTCGAAACTCCAGAGATTTTGAACCGGAAACTGTGAAACATAACAGGGTGACCGCCGTGAACATGTTTTTAAGTTGTTTTTGGTTAAGTTTTTATGCCTAAGTTTGTAAAAGCGATGGTTTATGTTCAAACAGTAGAACTGACCTTAACATGTCCATAATAAGAAGATCCTTTCTTTTCTTTAAAGTTATCTGGCGTCGTCTTCCGTGTTTTGTTGTTCAGCTCACAAACTCGTTTAGAAAAATCTGCACCGGGATGAACATTAAATGATTTGCAGCTGTTATTTCCGAGGCATTTTTGGTGACATTCAAAGTCGTCAGCAACAGTTGATGTATTCATGACATGACCAACTAAAACATGGTCTGAAAGATAAAGTAATATAAAATGGAGGAATATGCAGTGAAACAGTAGAGTTTAACGAACCAAGGGCACACATATTGTTTCAGTTTAGCTGTACATTTTTATAACATTAAAAGATATACTTGCTTGCTAAATTGGGATTAGATACAAGCGGGAACAGAGAGGAGAAGTGTGGCGTCACGTTACCATGGTAGCAAAATGTTTGGATCACAACAAAAGTGAGCTTAGGCAACAACGACAGCGGCGGCGGCAACGAGAACGGCCAAAAAGCAATAAGTTTATATTAGTAAAACAACAACTCTGCACGTGCATCACGCTTTTTTGCACATTTTTTCGCCATCGCTGCACGACTGCGACATGAAACTTCCAAATATCACGCGTCCGCTTTACGGAGTAAAGCACAAAAAGTTCCTTTTTCTTTTTCTAAACTCAGGTACGATCCCTTCGGATTCAACCCCGAAAATTTCGCTAACATTTGACAAATGAAATGAAATTGAATAAGATCGATGAAGTTTGAAACAGTGCGAATTTACTTTTTAAGTGAGTTTTCGGTTTGTTGTCATCCAAACATTTTGCTACCATGGCAACGTCTTCTCTATCGTCAACAGTAAAAATAGAAGGGATAGGAGATGTAAGTAATTTTTATATCAGATATAGTCGGGAAAAGCAAATGCTTCTTGTGCAAGCTTGTTTACGTTATCTAGTCCAGTTCTGGCCCCTGCTCTTTGCGTGAAATAGAGGGAGAAAAAAGATGTAATAAAAGATTCCTCTTAAGACCAAACTTCCTAAAAAACGGTATTTTGTTTGCGCCTAGAGACACAGAAAACGTTTTAGAAAACCTGTTTATAAAGCAGCAGGTCTTAACTTACCAGTCTGACTTTCAAACACGCTCGCACAGAAGTCCGAGTTAGATTTCACAAGTAAACTTTGGATCAGAACATTAACAGTCAGAAAACACAAACGAATGAGCCACGAGGCAGCCATCAACGGCGGAAAATGTTTGCCGAACTTCACTGTATCTACATATACCTTAACTATTATGTGTCAGCCTTATACTGTGGGCGTTCAGTTCAGTTTGTTTAGTTGTAAAACTTTTTTGAGATGTCAACTCCCAAACAAAGCAATTTATAATTCATGAGTGTTTTCAAAACTACTTGATAAAATTGCCAATTACAAGACGTGTGTTAAAGGGAACGTCTCATAACTGAACAAAGCACAGCGCTAAGATTAAAAAGCGATAATATATGCATTGAGCGATAACACATTGCAGAGAACACCTGCATTATCGTAGTTTGCAATATCGTGTAGTTTGCTGGTTCCTTGTCCTTACCTCGGAGCCGGGCTCCTAACATGTGACTGCAAGAATAAAAAACATATACATTATTCTGAAATCAGTACTTATTATCTGCAGTCCAACGAAGCTTCGGGAAATAAATTTACCATTGCTGTGGCAAGTTTATTGGGTATTCATGGGGAAATTTAGATAAGGCTTTGAACGTGACCTAACTTTGGAGAAAGACAGGGGCAATCGAATCATTTTTGTTTGGCCTAGATCCATCTGCTAAGTGCAGTATTTTACAGTTATTAATATGTTCTGTTTCATCCTTTTAGCTTCGGGCTTATTAGTTAATCGACAGCCACTTAGGTAGCCAAAATACGCCAATTATTTTAATGTATTTTGCCATGTAACTTTAAAAAATCATATCTCTGGTGTCATTTACAGTTCAATATCAAGCTATACCTCATTGGAAAGGGAAAAGAATAGCCTTTCGGTCATAGGAAACCCATAATATTCCGCCACAAAAAAATTTAAAAAGCATATTTTGCATAAAAATTTTTTAAAATTTTAAAGAATGTCATTTAGCTAGGAAACTTCTTTATTTTGGGTGATATGGTAGTAAGAAATATTTTTCATCAATATGTGAGTAAAAAAACCCGAAAATCGTTCTAAAATATGGAGCGACTAGAAATTTTCTACAAATTTTTTTCTGCACGCTGTCATGATTATGCTAATTGGATTATCATAATTAGCATAATCCTTTGGCGTCACCTCGTGACCCGATGTTTACTTCACTGAGACGCTTTGTTTCCTACCCTGGGTGCCAGAGACTTTTCTAGCGCGGTTTCCGGTTTCTGTCAAGTCTTTATAGTGACCCGCGCGAAAAGCCTCTGGACCAGAGCGCCATCCCTTTGATAGCGCCGAACCAATCGTTAGCACGGTTAAATCAGTTGGTCCAGATTTTGGACAAGACGGCTGATTGGCTCCGAACGACCTCCTGAGGGACTCTGAATCTAACAGACGCTACAATTGGTTGACAAGAATAGACCAGCACGTGAAAGAATATTTCCAACTGTGCTGTTAACATCACGTAAGCGTTCCTGCGAGAAGTGTAGTGATGGCGGTTTGTGAAAGTTTGGAAAGGGCATTGAAGGAAAGTATAAGCTATGTACTAGAAAGGTTTGACGGTGTAGAGAAGTTAAGTGATGAGCAAACAAGTGGGGTATTGAATTTTATTCAACGCAAGGACGTTCTGGCTGTCTTGCCAACCGGTTCCGGTAAATCGTTGTTGTTTCAGCTTATTCCGGGTCTGTGTCAGCGTCTTAACCAAATGGGATACTGCAACTATCCGAAAAGTGCAATTGTGATTGTTGTTTGTCCGTTGAATGCCCTTATCGAATGCCATATGAAGGAGTTACGACAGCAGGGAATTTCGTGTACTTGTTTATCCGGAGATGATGCCGACCAAGATGGCGCACTCGCTGGGAAATACGCGTTCGTCTTTGCAAACCCTGAGGCGCTTATCCTGCACGAAAAATGGAGGAAGATGCTTCAATGGCCCATCTATCAAAGCAACCTGTTTGGGATTGTTACCGATGAAGCCCATGTTATTCCTAAATGGTATGTTGACTAGTGTTGTTGTGGTTTGAATTTATTAAGCTTTTAATTATCACATTCAACTTTTGCAACAATACGATTTGAGCTTGACTAATTTCCTATTTCAAACGTTTACAACATGTTTTGAAACAAGTTGGATGGATTAGGAATTAATATAAACACAAAACATGTATTTTGCAGGGAAAATTTGCTTAAATTGACGTCTAAATTGGACTTGTTTTCATTGATTGTCTACAATGATTTTGTAGTAAGGGACTTGTGCATTGTGCAAATCCTGGTACGTAAATAAGATCTTTAAAGGAGGATTTCTATACTTTATCAATATAGGAGACCATTATTTTTTTACTTCTCCCTTTTTTTCTGTTTCGTCTCTTTTATTCATGTATGTGGAGGGTTTCCCTGTTTTATCATTGATTAGCCCTACTCAACACTCATAAAAAGAACATGTTTTCAGGTCTCGACAACATTAATCCTGAACAGTCTCTTTTTTAAATTTACCAGGGGCTATGATAGCAAAGAAAAGCAACAAGCCTTTCGTGCATGTTTTGGACGGTTGGGTGAGCTTCGTTCACTAGCTGCAGACAAAACTCCAGTAATGGCACTTACAGCAACAGCAACCAGAGAGACAAGGCAGCAAATCATTAATGGTCTGAATTTGAAGGACAACCTGCACCTGATTGTTGCAAGCCCAAATAGGTCGAACATTTATTTGTATGTTGCTAAAGTAAACAAAAACTTGTCTGAGATGTTCGGTTGGCTGGTTGAAAAGTTGATAGTTGAAAAACAGGCTTGCCCAAGAACTTTGGTTTATTGTAAGACTACCAAGGAATGTGGACAACTATTTAGTTTTTTTAAAATGGAGCTAAAAGAAAATGCTTATGTCAGCAGTGATCACAAGTCTGACAACATGTTGATTGGTATGTTTCACCACAACACCCTTGACAAACATAAAGGTAGAGTTACCACCTCACTCTACAAACCTTCTGAAAACCTGCAGAGTGGTGTTTGCTACAAATGCTCTTGGTATGGGAATTAACTTCAAGGACATTGCTTATGTTATTCACTATGGGCCTCCTCGTAATATTGAAGATTTTGTCCAAGAAATTGGTCGTGCTGGTCGCGATGGCAGGAAGGCAGTTTCAGCATTATTTTACCAAGGGAAACATTTGCGGAAATGCGAGAAGGCAGTTAAAAGGTATGCACCTGTTTGCGAAACCTTTTAATGTCAGAATTTGAAGAACTTAACAACACTGTGGGAGATCATAGCTGTTGCTTGTCATGCCATTTGAAGTGTCTATGCAGTGACACAAAGTGCAACATTGACATACCGTTTACTCACCACAGTTATCAAGTGAGGGGTTCCTCCAAAGAGTCTTTAAAGAAAAGAAAGACTACCCTTCAACAAAGGTTAGTCTGCTTGAAGAATTGTTGAGGGACAGGCAAAGGGAACTCGATCTCTTCTAAGTGCTCAGTCTATTACCTGTCTCCGGAGTGTACAACTGGATTTAGCGATAATCTGATTAAGTCAGTGCTGTCTCATTGTAAGTACATTTTTAATGTGGATTACATAATGGAGAATTTGCCTGTTTTCAAAAAAGAGCATGCTTGTGACATCCTCCATATGGTTAGAGATTCTTTTGAAGATTTTGAAATTAATGATGAGACACTCACAGACACTGACAATCAAGAACTTGTTTTTTCTGAGACATTTGACCTGGAATATGGTGGAATCTATAGCAACAGCGAAGGCAGTGACAGTGACTTTTTCACAGATTCTGAGTTGTAGTAATAACTTACTTCTGTCATTTATTGTCTTGAAGTTGTTATCTAAAAGAAAGCTTTTTGACTTTGTTGAAGTGCAGTTAACTCACATTAGTGCAGATATCGTTCATTATTCATATCCTTGAGAGCATTTATGTCTTTTGCCAGGCACCTAGTCATTATCTGTTGTGTACAGACAGGGTGTCAACAAGGTGGGAGTTGACCTGATTTTACTATTGCAGTAAGCGACTTAAGGCAGTAAACCATTCAAGTAAACCATTCTGCAGTTTGAAAGGTACACTATTTATTTCAATAAAAATAGAGCAATGTGTCGATTTTGAAAACAAGTATGATATACATTCATAATAGCTAAAGAACTTCCAGAAGACTAAAAAACTTAATGGGGCTCAGGGATAATGACATAGCAAAAATTCGTTGTCTTAAATTTTGTATAATGCACCCAAAAAGTAGTGTTTTTCATTATTACTATGCATTGAATTACTGACTGGGAAATTCTGGGTTACCTTACATATGTAACTCCTGTGTCTTCACGCACGTTAATTTTAAAATTTTTTGCCTCTTGCCTTAGTTCCTAGAAATTTAAACAGCTGTTTTTACAAGATTTTGACAGTCTGACAAAAGCACAAAAGCGTCGCCCACAATGCTTTCAGTTTCTATGAGTTGTTTTCATTAAGAAATATTGGATATACTTTTGATCATATTAGCCCTGTCGATCAAATCAACACAGTTAGGTAAACACCATCTATTCATGTACAGATTTCAGTTTCAGCTTTTGCTTCAAATCACCCCTGCTGCCACAGTCGGGTAGTGGTAGGAGTGATTTGTGCCAAATGTTTCTAGGGCATCGAGTAAGCTACAACTGAAGGAAAACCTTTTTTAAAAAAATAGCGGGGAATTTTGTATTCTAAGACAGCGCATCAGAAATGTATCAAACTGTCTTGAAATAAACATGCTTGAGAATAGATTGTTTTCTCCTTTGTTTTTCTTCTGAATCAAGGGGTCCATGTGTAATGTGCCACTTGCACTAAGAAGTCACGTGACCAATGCTTCCTTTCAACAATGAGTTGGAATCTTGCTGATCCCAAAAATTGACAGAGCACAGAAAAATTATCTTACACCCGAAATTTGAGAGGAAACACATTTAAGGGGGATATTTTTTGGCAATTTAGTAGTTATGCTCAGATGTCCTGTAAACGTTACCACATCATCTTTTCAACATTTTCCTTTAAGTTTAAGAGCAAATTGATGTTCAGAAAGAGGTAATTCATAATTTTGAAAATCGCATTTTGGTCACGTGACCAGTTAC